CGTAATCACTGGGTTTACGACTGCAAATGATGAACTTCTGGAGTCAACCCAGCTCAAAATGATTTCCATAGCCAACCACAGCCTGCGCAACAATGTCTATATATGCACGATATTACTCAGTGACCTTTACAAATATTGAGCTAAACTTAGGTGGTCCAGTAGCTGAGAGTCATCACTCCAAGCACTAAAAGAGCATTTGAGATATTGCAGTATAGCATGAGATCTCACATGTTCAAATTCTAACCAAAATGTTTACGACTATGTCCTTTTTCTTCATAGGATCTTGCATGAAAGGAAGCCGTCAAAATGCATTTTTTCAAGGATTTTAATTATTTTGACTTTCATTCTTATCCACAGTACAACATTATCTTTTTGTATTGTAGATCAACAGGAAGTCCTGAAGAAGTCGGAGCATGTTATTAAGCTCGCTGATGGTCCTCTGGTGGTCAGAGTCAGAAACAGTCTGCCAACAACTGCTTCTTCTCAAAACACCACCTCCACAGCTCCAGCAGAGGTCAGCAAAACTTTTCATCTAACTTTATTACAGGCTCAAGGTCCACCACACAGAGAAACAAACAAAAAGGAAAAAAAAAAAGCACATTGAGCAACCATACAATATAAGCAATACACCTTACAAAAAGATAACTGTACTTATGCCTCCATAATGGAGACTGGTAACGTGTACCACTGAGCCTTAGCACATTATTATTGAGCTACAGCGATCATGGACAACTATTTTTTTAATTAAATGTGAATATCAAATTTTGTAAAAGATCATGAAAGGTTTAAAGCCAAGGAGCATACAAGCAATCTCCCATTTTTGCTTTTTCAGTAAAGTCTGAGGCAGTCATTGTATGCCACATTGAGTTTACACATGCTAGCTCTGTTATAGTTAGACCACAAATGTGCARTTTATAAGGTTGTACAGAAGGCCTTAAACAGAGACTTCTTTACCTCACTGGTACATGCATCAAACCTATGGATTATCCTGTGCAAAAACAGGCGACACTGCCTATAAATATCTTCATCATCAGTGACAAAATGACCAAGAAGTTTAAATTTATGACACACAGAGTATTTCCACATAATGAAAAYGGGAAATTACAAAGTTTTTTGTTTTTAAGTTCTGTATGTTGTATACAATTGTATAAACTTTAATTTTCACTGTCATGAGGTACTGGTTGTAGATTGAGCCAAGAAAATAAAACATTTGTTGAATTAGGCTTSGTCAAAGCAAAACTGCACACAGAACTTGTGTATTAATTTTACTAAAACCAGTAAATTGTGAACATTTGGTTGTGTTTTTAAAACAGAGCTCCCAGTTTATTCCTGACTCGACTGCTTCAACAAGTAATGAAGMAAATAAACTGTCTCCTGATGAACATCTGCCTTCTGAGCTGAAGGAATGTGTGGAAGCAGAGGAGCAACAAGAGGAAGAAGTTCCTTCTTCTTCCAGCTCTGTTCAGCTTCACCCAGAGGAGGACTGTGTTTCTTTCAAGAAGTCATCTGAACCTGATGATGTTTGTGACTGGAAAGTTGTGTCGGACAATACTGACAGCTACCTGTGCCACTCGGAGGAAAGTTCATATAAAGATGAAGGGACAGCTTTGCGCATAGCAGAATTGACCACTGACGAATCTTCTCAGGTTGACAAAAAGTTGTTGGAAGTAGGGAATGAGTCATCATCTTTGAGTTTGACAAACACAGAAGTAGCCAGTTACAGCCTGTGTGATGGGCTTCAGGTGGTGCTGTGTCAGGGTGATATCACCACACTTCAAGCTGATGCCCTGGTGAACGATGCCAATGAAGATTTGAAGCATTGTGAAGGGGTTGCTGCTACCCTGAG